AGAATAAACTGGAATTTCTTGGCCTATAAACTTTTGTATCCTCACTTACAGCAGAACTCCGGGCTCCTAGAGATTTCATACTTCCTGTTCTAATACAACATTTGGATAAAACAACTGTGTTTTGATGTTCAGAGTACTTGCGTGTTTATAGAGATATACACTGATCAGCCATAACACTATGACCACCTGCCTAATATTGAGTAGGTCCTCCTTTTGCTGCTAAAACATCCCTGACCCATCAAGGCACGTACTCCACTAGACCTCTGAATGTATGTTGTGGCACCAAGTTATCAGTAGCAGATCCTTTATGACCTGTAAGTTGCAAGGTGGGGCCTGCATGGATTGGACTTTGATTGGTTTTTGCAGCACATCCCACAGATGCTCGATTGGATTAAGATCTGAAGAATTTGCAGGCCAAGTCAACACCTCGGCCTCGTCGTTGTGTTCTTCATTCTTGAACCATTTTTTGCAGTGTTTCAGGGCACATGATCCTGGGAAAAGAGGCCACTGCCAGTCAGCAACAGTGTTTAGGTATGGAGGTACATGCAAAAGTTACATCCACATGAATGGCAGGACCCAAGGTTTCCCCAGAAGAACATTGCCAACAGCATAACACTGCCTCCGGCCGTTGGCCTTCTTCCTATAGTGCATCCTGGTGCCATCTCTTCCACAGGTAAGCAACACACATGCATCCAGCCATCCACATTATGTAACAAAAAAAAACATCAGACAAGGCCACCATCTTCCATTGCTCCATGGTCCAGTTCTGATGCTCCCGTGCTCATTGTAGGCACTTTTGGCAGTGGACATGGGTCAACATGGGCACCCTGACTGGTCTGCAGCTACATAGCCCCATAGGCAACAAACTGCGATGCTCTGTGTGTTATACACATTTCTCTTGGAACCAGCATTACCTTTTGCAGCAATTTGAGCTACAAAGGCACGTGATTGTATCTCTTCTATTGGATTGGACTACATGGGCCAGCATTCGCTCCTCACATGCAACAATGAGCCTTGGCTGCCCATGTTGCTTGGTTGCTTGGAGCCTTGGTTGCTAGTTCCCCGGTTTTCCTTTCTTGGACCACTTTTGGTAGGTCCTGACCACCGCAGACCGAGAACCAGGAACGACAAGAGTTGCAGTTTTGGAGTTGGTCTGACCCAGTCGTCTATCCACAATTTGGCCCTTGTCACAAGGTGCTCAAATCCTTATTCTTGCCCATTTTTACGCTTTCAAAAACAACTTCAGGGACAAAATGTTTACTTGCTAACTAATATATCCCACCCACTTTCAGGTGCCATTGTAACAAGATAATCAGTGTTATTCACTTCACATCTCAGTGGTCATAATGTTATGGCTAATATATCATGTTTCAGTTATTTGTATGAAATAATATCTGACCATTCCTCTCCTTTAATAAAAACAATATACACTTGCACATTTATATTGCACAGTGATGTGCTTTACAAAGGTTTCCTCTGCTTTAAAGTGTTAATTTTAGTGAATGGGGAAGGTGGCTAGCATGAGGAAAAGGAGAGTCCCAGTCACATGACCTGTCAAAATCATGTCCCCAGGCTCTCCCCCTGTCACAGAGTGACCTTTGCAGCATTATCCAGAGAACACTCCAATGGACACCACAGGCCCCACTCCAATCTGCAGTTTAGGAAAGACTCATAACAAGCATATAGTGTGAATTAAACACTGCTGGATGTTTCTAGTGCTATTCCCTTTCTGTGTAAACTGTCCCCCTTGCTGGATAAAACATGAATGTTCTATGAAATGTTGGGCTTGTACCTAGAATGGTATCGGACCATGTCCTGTTTTCCAGATTCTCAACAGCATAGTTTCCGTTACACACGTGCAGTTTAATCCAGAAGTGAACCCATTATCTATACCTTTCCTATGATAAGAGATCTGTGTTCTCAGCTGTACTAGAGGGATGTGCAGCACTCAATCTTCAACTGCACTCAGCACAGTGTATAACCTGACATTGCGTATGTTTATTGGTCATTTCTATAAGATGGATTTCTCCCTTAAAATGTGTTGAGAATAGGGCTGCAACCAGCTAATGAATTAATCGATAATGAGCATAGTTGTCAACTATTTTTATTATTGATTCGTTGGTTGGATCCCCCTAGATATCTCCTCCTCGCTGGAAGGAGGGTGCAGCAAGCAGTGAAGGGCGTAATAGCCAGCCTGCTATTGGCTATTGCAATTTGAAATGGCCAATAGCTAGCAGGCTTGCTATTGCACCAGTTTACTACCTGCTGTGTTTACATTCAGCTGCCGTCTGCGTAATCTTGTCACTGGCACCTGTCATTCCCGGGCTGAAGCTATTCAAGCGCCATGTGCTTACAATACAATTATTAGAATTGTTTTTTTTAATAAAAGGTGGGAAAAAAGTCATTTTCAGTTGCGGCCGGACAAATTCTGCTGCAGGCGGTGCGTTGCATTGCCATTCATTTCAATGGCGCCCCAAACGTTCCTCCGACCCACAGTGTGATCACCCACACTGGAACGCACGGTACCGGAATGCTGAGCGTTCCAGTGCAGTTTGATTGCAACAAATTGTGCTTGCAGTTTTATTCTGAAATAAACTTTACGATTGTAACACTGCATTGTGTATTTTATTTTAAAGTAAGGATGGTTTTTATGTAATTTTTTTATCCGATTAATCGAAAAAATTATCGGCCAATGAATCGATTATGGAAATAGTCATTGGTTGCAGCCCTAGTTGAGAAAACATTAGACTAGCCTACATCCAGTAAAATCTTTGCAGCGTTAGTGTGAACTGATATGTTTGTGAAAGATGGGGGGCCTTTTGTTTGTTCTACCATCTCTGCCTGGGGTGGGCAAACTCCATCCCTCCAGCTGTTGTGGAACTACAAATACCATGGGATGGGATCTGTAGTTTCACCAGCTGGAGGGCTGGAGTTTGCTCACCCCTTTCCTACTGCCTGATTTCTGTATGCTTTATGTTATAATATTTTATCAGTTTGTGTTTCATCTTATTGGTTCCCAGATCCTACTCCACAGAAGCCACCGATTCCTTCTCTTTCACTGATCTGAATTAGCAAACCTAAAACCGCCTTCTGCCAGTTGAAATAAATGTCTGTATAACATAACATCGACGTTTGGATGTTTTGTTATATGCTAAAACTTTTAATAAAAATAACAGATTAAAATAAATAAAAAAAAGTCTGTATATTTTTGGCCTGTATCAGTGCTATAAGCCAGCATTTATAACTGCACATTAGAGCAGTGCCCGTCAATGGACTCCAAGAAAGGGATCAAAATCCTATTTTCTCTATCATCCAATGTAGGGACGTTTAAATGCAGTACAAAACAGAGGGGCGGGCACCATAAAAAGGAAAAGAACCAGCTCAAATACTCAGACTGAACAACTATTCTGCCAAAACTAGCATTAGAAGAGGCTCTTTAAATAAGTAATACAATCTTTGTTAGGATTTGTGATGGATGTGATGACCTGTAAATCCCTTCTGCTGCCAAAGCGCAGTGTTATAACCTAATGTTTATACTCATGCATTTGAACAATTGACACAATAAGAAGTGCTTGTTTTTTTCAGTGGCTACCAGGGGTGACCCATTTCATAGTCAAGTGATTAGTACAAAGGCACGTGATTGTATCTCTGCATTTACTGCAGTATCCTTGTAGGTATCCTAAAGGTCCAGGGTACCAAAGTATCATCCCCATCTGAACAGTTAATGTTTTCTCCAGAAGATCACTGGTGAATTATTCAGAATGAGCTTGTCACACCTGGCTGGTGATCTGGAAAATAAGCTTTACTGCTTAATTCTGCTGCTCAGCATTTCTGAAGTGCAGAAACAAACAAATGTCTCAGAGGAATCAATAGCTCTATTTCTGCTGTGTGTGCTCTCTCTCTCTCTCGCTCTCTCTCTCTCTCCAGGAAGCAATGGAGAGCACACAGCCTACATGAGTGTGCAAACTGCAAGACACAGGAGTATAGTGGTTATTCTATAGGACCTCATCACTGGGTATCGGTTATATGGTGGAATATGTATCTCTGATTTGGCTGCTGTCTTCTGGTATACCTGTATTTTGAATCCTTAAATTGTAGCAACCCACTAAATGCCAAGGCCAGAGGCAGGGTTATAAATATGCCTGATGGCAAAAACTATTAAGCCTTTAACAATCCCCTGTGTGATAGCAATTGGAGGTGACAGGTTCTCTTTATTGACCCTGTCACCTCCAATACAGGAGCTCCAGCACAGTACTGTACTGGAACTCCTGTGACAGGTGAGAGGAGAAGAGCACAGCACAGCTCACCCCTCTCACTGTGTACACGGAGCGGCAGGGTTAGTTTTAGGGTTGCACAGATACTTTTCGAGTACCAGTGCAGATACTTGGCATTTTCATGAGTAGATCGTGACCCCTCCTGTTCACTTGCGGGACCCCATATGGGGTCGCGACCCACACTTTAAGAAGCACTGATCTAGGGAACAAAAGTGCCGCAATCCTTGGTTTCTGATTCTGCTCAGTGACTGATTCCCTCCCCATGTGCAGGTGACAGGTACACTGTATATGTGAAGTCAGCTGACAAAAATCACATCATGACATAGAATCATCTTTTTTAAGTGTCAAATAATACAGTATTATGGTTTTAAAGGTGCCTGTTAACTTTATTTTAGACTTTTATTCAGCAATCACGTGAGCACAACTGCACTTTCCATGCCTATTCCCAAGTATGGGGGATGAGTGCCCCCCATAACATAGAGGGCGGGCAGCAGTTCAATGTATAGGGCGGCAGGGCAATAAATTTGACATCTTCCTACTCTGTTTTTGACACAGCCATCCCTGCTGCTATCCATGCCTCCATAGGCTGCTGTTGCCAAATGCAGGCTGTGATTGGCTACTGCTCCACCACAGCTGTCACACCGTGTTTGCAGCCACTGGTGAAGCAAAGGATTGTAGCATAAGGGTAAGAAGGCCTCTGTATTTTACCTCATTCTGGCATACAAGCAATGCTGGATTATTGACAGCTCCTGCTAAGGGTCCCTGTCAAACTGAACAGGGCTGGGTGGGGGAATGTGTCAGCAAGACTGGTCACAAACTATAGGTATGCGGAGTGTTGGCACAGCGTTCTATGGCTCATGATTAGGATGCAAATTGCGTAGCTGTCAGCACATCTCCTTCTGTGCTTAACATGGTCAGAATGAGTCAGGAAGAGAAAGGCTGCCAAGATCCCAGATATTTGCTGCTGAAATTGAATGAATGCTAAATCTTTGACAATATAAACAGTAAACATAATAATAAACTGGGGGAACTGGCTGCATTATTCACACTTCTATTATATGGAAATATGAGTGGAGAAATTACCCAGAGGAGCTTTCTAAAGAGCCAAAGCTGCACAGCAGAGTAGCCATGAATCAGGATAGTGGCTAGTGCGATGCGGACCTGGATATATACTGTACATGCACAATATAATATCAGGCTCTCATCCTTTTTATTAATAACATTAAAACATGTGAGGGATAAAAAACAATATTGTATTAGGAAACCTGGCGATAGAAAAATGTGAGGCTGCCACTGTTGGCCTCTTCTAATATAATGTTGTTTGCCTGGCTGTCATAGTGACCCTTTATATTCAATTCACCTTACCTAATCTGAACACTTGTTAATGAGCAGTGATTAAGAAAGTATTAAAGCCAGAGGTCAGCATAACAACCAGGTAACTAGATTTTTTTAGCAGAAGGCTAACAGTGGCAGGCCCTATGTCATTATGGGTTTACTTTAATGTCCAATTGAACTTTCAGTTTGATTCAGCTTCAGTTTCATATATTGCAGTTGTTTGAAAACAAGAGGTGTGCAGCATCTTACAGTTAGTTTTCTATGGAAAGCAGCCACTGAATAGATACACTTGTCCCCTGTCTGCATGCTGTAGAGAAGGAAGATGAACTTGGAATGTTTTTAGAATTAACATGAAAGTTCAGTTGGTCTTTAATCACAAAAAAGGAAGCAAAGTAAAGAAACGCAGTCACAATACTTCCCATTCGAATTCTGTTAATTAAAGCTATAGTTCTCAGTGGTGGCCGGTACACTCTCCCCAGCGGTAGAAGGCCTGTGGCCATGACTTGAAGATTCTCTGTCCGCATGCACGCTCTTTGTAGGGCTGCTCCTCTTACTTCTGGATGGAGTCATCTTACTGCTCAACTTTCCTTAAAAACAAAGAGAAATAGTGTGTTATCCATCCCTTTTCAGACCTAGAGTGCACACTATTTGGCACCCACCCATGTGCCAAAACTTCTGCCCAACACCCCATTCTTTTGCTTCCAGATATATAGACCAGACCATAATACCCCTATTGCCCTAAAATGCAGTGCCCAGAATCTAAGAAGTCAATTGCCAGGCCCAATGCTGCTGCATGGCATGTGTCATATATTGTGCAAATACCAAAATGACTGGCTGTTGTCAGTATTTGCCAGCGACCACTTGGGGCAGCCGTGGTGACTGGAGCAGCAATGATTAGACTTAGTTTAGGTTTTGTTGGGTGTCTAGCACAAAGTGGGGAGAGTTTGGGTTGCCTTAGCGTCAAGTTTTCTTTAAAGAACAATGCTGGTACTCACATGCCCACATATAATCTAATTACCATTTTAAAACCCTCCCAGTGAAGTGAACATAATGCATATGATCAAGGCTCTAAAAACCTGAATCTATAATAGAATTTGTTTTCCCAGTGTCCATCTCTTCCCAAAGCCATCAAACCAATCTACGCCCATGATACTTTGCAACCTTTCAGCGCTTCCATAAGTGTAAGCTGTGCTGTCAATTAGCATGATATAGTGGAGGGAGGGAACAAACACTATTTTCCAGGATGCCAGCTACTGAACTACATTATAAGATGGGGCTACACAGGCACCACGAGCAAACAGAACGGACGCGGATGAGCGGTCCTGGATGTATTTGAAAGCGTTTCGTTTTATCTACAATTGTAAGTGTGATTTTATTCTTAAATTCCCCCCATTGTGTTTATTTATCAAAACTGGAGCAGATGTGCATGGAAACCAATCAGCTTCTCGCTTCAGTTTGTTCAGTTAAAGGAGAACTATGAGGCGAGTGCTTTTCACTCACCTCATAGTTCTAGCCGATCTATGACAATGAGACTGTCACAGGTCGGCTCAGTAGATCGGGAGGTGAGCGAACACATACCGGCGTTCGCTCACCTCTCGATCCTGTCACAGCTCTCTGCCGTGACAGGGGAGGGGCTGTATTCCCCCCTCTCCGCTCCGATCTGCCAGCGCTGACTAGCGGAACGGACGGTGGAGGGGGCGGGTACAGCTGGCTCTGCCTCTAGGTAGGCAGAGCCAGCTGTCAGTCACGCAGCTGGGCGGATCCAGACATAATTGTCGGGATCCGCTTCAGCTGCGGCGTCTTAGTATACCGGAGCAGCAGCTCGCGGTATACTGCGGCATCTCAGTATACCGCAAGTTACAGCTCGCGGTATACTGAGCTTAGGGTGACAGGAGGACGCTAGTTTGTGTCCTCCCGTTACCCTAAGAAGAACTATGGGGCAAAGCCTTAACCCCATAGTTCTCCTTTAAGATTTGAAAATGAAAGATAGAAGCTGACTGGTTGCCATGCACAGCTGCTCCAGATTCTGTCTGCTTCTGTTTTGATAAATTCCCCTCATTGTTTTACATATTGCACAATGGAGAGTCTACTCTTATGTTTTTGAGTACAATAAAGAGGAGAAACTCAGAGGTTGTAAGGATTATACAAGGAGGAGGTTGATCTGCTGGATAACAAAGCGGGGAAGGAGAGGAAGGAATATTCCATTTAATTGGCTGATACTAGAGAAGAGAAAAAAAAGAGTCTCTTTTGAAAAACTTGAAAGTTCATCTGAAATAAGGTGAACAACATTGTCTGGTGAGTGCGATTAAAGACTTTTTTCGTGCACGGTTTTATTGGAAGCACAAATCACTTTATTGTAATATATGAAGTCTTTCATCACAACTTTTACTGAATTTTTGCACTTTATGTCAAAGAAGTATATTAACTGTGTTGCATTATTGCATGTTATTATTTGTACACGTATTAACCTCCCTGGCGGTCTGATTATGGAGGATTTTAGCATGCCAAAGCGGTACATTGTTTTTCACGGCTAGACAAGAATTGGCTGCAAAGAAGCTGCAGGAAACCAGTGCAACAAAGGATGAAAAATGGTGACAACAAGGATTTTCAAAAGTCAGTTGTTTATGATACTCAGTGCCTTGCCATCTAAAGGACATTCAGTTAGGGTTTACCTCTACTTTAGGGCTAGTTCACACCAAGCGCAGAGCAGATGCAGATGCAGAGTAGAACAGTTACAGAACGGATCAAAACTGCGTCCAATGTATTCCAATGGTATTTTGGGCTCTAGTTCACACCAGAGCGTTCAATTCCAGAGCAGGTAAAAAAACTGCAGCAAGCCCTATTTTTCCTGCTCTGGAACGCATGCAAACGCATCAAAAACACATGCAAACGCCCTGCGCGTGCAGAAACACATGCAGATATGGTCTGCATTTGGTTCAAACAAGCCCTTAATGTCCATTCCACATGCATGCACACAGTGGGATGAAAGCTAGATGAAGGAAATTTCCAGCAAACATCCAGAAAGGACAGCAGGATATAGGTATGTTTCTCAGATACAGCTCTCTGAAAACTATACAGTGGCAGTGTTAGTTATCAATTTATCCTGTTATCCATTTTGTTAATACATGTTAAAAAATATTTCTATTTAGCAACAGCAGCAAACAGCCCTCTAAGGGGTCCTCTGAACTGAATGAACACCCATTACATGAATAACCCTAACGCGCCCCAACTGTCTCGGTTTGCAGTAGCTGGGAGTAGAGAATCAAGGAGTGAAAATGGTCCTTATCTGCACCTTTGTCCTAAAACAGGAAATCCGCCTAGAAATGAAGCACAATTCATAATCCAATCTATTTTCTACAATATTTAGCATACCCTCAGCTGCTTTTTACCTGAAAGCTGGAGACATTCATCTTTATGCAGCTTAGTCCACGATCTCTTCTTGCATTGTTTGCTACATGTGTATATGGAGTAACAGCGCAAACATGGGGTCAGCTTGACGCCAACAGAACGGCCACACTGATAACAGTATTTGAAAAACGTTTTTCTAAAGATACAAATATAAAAAAGCGTCAAAGTGTGAAAAGCGGCAAAGTGTGGAAATAAAATGTGTACACTAGAAGAAAGTCAGATCACTCACTTGGGTACATACATGAGTCTTTCCCCCAATGTATCACGTGTGTTCACTTTTCTCTCTGGATCTCTGTGCGTAGCAGAGCTGCCTGCAATAAATGTCATCATCATAAAAAAAATACTATTATCACCTTCAAAGCGACCTGTTCAATGTACATTATATCAATACAACTATTACAACCTACAAAGAATAGAACTTTCAACAGGTTTTCTTGCTGTCTGGGTCTCTATTCAGGACATTTTCTCTCTACCAAGTAGAGTGAGAAAGGGTTAGGACCTCAGTTAGATTTTTATTGATGTCAGTGTCCCCAATGGATAGATTCAATTCAGTTTCTGTCCCAGAGACAGTTGTCCCAGGGGCAGAAACTAAATAGAATCTACCCATTGAGGACAGTGACATCAATAAAAATCTGATGGAGGTCCTAACCTTTTCTCACTCTACTTGGCTGTGTCCTGTTTGGAAAGAATAGTCCTTACTTCCTATCCCAATAACACTATCATTGGTGCAATAAATGAGAAAATTATTTTCCAACAGGGACAAGAACAGCAGGGACAGGGGCAGCAATAACATCCCCCCAAATTCTAATACCACCCCATTCACCTGAAATAAATATTTTATTGTTTCCTGTGTTTCTGTGGAGAGATTTACCTGTATGGGTTGTCTTGTATATATGAGCTTATTACTAGACATGATCTTAGTATAGTCTTCCTAGATAAAGCATACTATGGGCTCACTGGACAGGACTACAACATAGGTTTATTATACGTTACTTGCACACATAATACTACAATGGAAACATAACCAAGCAACTGGACATTACAACAACAACAAAATCCTAATGTAGGACAACTCAAATACCCTGCCACCACTTCCACACAGTTCCAAAGGGACTGTGCAAATCAAGGCATTTCCCTACCGGAGACAGGACAAAATCAACTTATATTAAATTCCACTAAAACAGTGAAGATTCTTTGACAGACTCGTATATTTAACCAAAGGCCTTTATCTCAGCTACAGAGGATCAAGACTTGGGCGTCATTGCCTTCAAAATGACTTTACCATTGAATGGCCACCCCAATACAAACAAGACAGTCCATATCCCAAAATGACCTGACTACTGCCTCAGCATCCCCTGACAGCCTCCATCCTGGTAAACCTTCCTCAGGCACAACACACTACATTAAACAACATGATCTGACCAATAATCATTTGAGAAATACTTATGGAGCTTAGGACAATTTTCAGGACACGTGCATTAGTTGCATTCTACGGCAAAATGGACAACTGAAGTGGATGTTTTCTTAAAATTTCCAGAAATCATGTACCCATGAGACAATTCTGCCAGAGTTAAATTAACCCTCTTCAGGAAATAATTCCAGGACAAGCATTTCCAGTAAGTAATCTTCAGAACCTCAGACTGTCTTTGAAAGCATAGGAATTGATACGCACACAGTTATGTACTTACGGACTATGCCATCCTTCGCCCACTCTGCTTCTTTTGCTTTAACAGCCTCCCGAGTGAGTTCTCCCAGGTGCTCCAAGAGCTGTTTTCGTGCATTAAAAATGTCCTTCTCCTTTGATAACAATGCATGGTATGGTGTGTGTGCTATCTTCTTATCCTGCAATATATAACTGATCTTGTACAATACACACTACTAAATTGCAACATGTTTATATTACAGCTTCAATGTTATCATAAGAATCATCCTATTTTGCTGCTTGTATAAAATTTATGTGATTTCTTATTATGCAATATGCTTACCACCTTAGAATTTTGCATTTACTCTACCTGGAAGTACTTGTAATAGGCATAGTCTGTAGCTGTACCCAGTGCAGTTCTCGTTCCTTCTCCTATAAGGATTGGCATCAATATACTGGCTCCAGCCTTTATGAGTCTGTCCACCTATGAAGGACAATTAAGTGTCATGAGAGGTCCATGAGCTGTAGAGCTACAAAAGAAACCATTTATGTTAGATTACTTCAGAAACAAAAACTCCAACCAACATAGATGAAACTTTAAAGCAAATTAGTGGGAGACGTATACAACATTATGGTGTGGAAAGTGACTCTTGTCTAGGTGGCAGAGATGGGGAACCTCTTGGAAGCAGCAGGGCTGGACATGCAGCGAACCCCACTATTTACTGCAACAATAGGAAACTCGCTAATGATTTGCATGTAATTGAACGTTATATTTCCTTTTGCAAACACACTGTGATAATCTAGGTGTATTGTAGGAGCACAACAACAAAACAAGAACAACTGCACACATTCCATGCATTAAAAAGGTAGCCATATATTATAGGGATGTCCAGATACCAGTTCAGATACCAGTGCCGATACTTGGCATTTTTACGAGAACTACCAGGGTTGCAGCAGTTGCGGCTGGGGCCTGGCTCTGGCACTCCACCACTGTCCTGAAATCATTAGTCTGTATTGTTTTAGAAAACTGTCACATGGCAATAAAACAAAAATGTATCAGTACTTGTATCTGGGAGTACTTAGACAAGTATCGGTACATCACTTATATATATTTATTTAAAAAAATAATGAATTAAAACAGAGATGTACAAATCCCAGGAGCTCCGTGTGCTCCTTACAAATGACAGCTGCCTCCTAATTTTTGAATTTTTCTCTAGTCTAGTCTTGGAGCTGGAAAATGATCTGTACTTGTACCGAGTACGGTACTTGGTATCTGAACATCGCTAATATATTATATAAAATCAAAGTGGCAACTCACAATTTTCCCACTCGGGTAAATTGCACATCAGGCCACGGGTGGTCACTCCAGTAGAAGCCCACATGCCATGGCCAGTGGCAGGGCTAGATGTGAAGTTGAAGCAGCTGTCACTTCTTCAGATGGGAGCCCAAGTGCCCCCTGGGCACCCATTTGGGCACACCTCATCCCCTCCATGATGCATTCAGGAGATCATGGATGCTGCTGACTGACAGATCTATACAGCAGGTACCATGCTTACATGCCTAAATGACAGCTGCTTCAACATCACCTCAAGCCCTTCCACTGGCCATGGTGTGTGGGCTGCTATTGGACTGACCACCTTTGGTTTGATGTGTTCTGTTCCCAAGTGGGAAAATTGTGAGTACACACTTTGACTTTAAATATAAAAGTTTACCTTTTCAAAGTGTGAGATCTGTGCAATCCTTCTTCTTGTTTTTATTGCTGTTATCTCAGTTCATGAATGTTCTCCATTTAGTTGAGCTGCTCGCTGCAGTACATACTTTCGTGCCAGTTAACTGTTTGGCACAGTGTACACACTGACTGTGGAAAACCATCACCTTATTGCCCTGTGAAAAGGGCTATAAAAGTACTGTGCTGGTTTTGTTTCTGCCTTTATTTTATTTATTCATTATTTAATCCATCAAACCATCTATTGTAGACTCTAGCTGCTAACCCGCCAGGTTAAAACCCCAGATGCAGTGCCTCAGTATATTTCGTGAAGTTCTCAGGATGTGAGAAAACTCATTCCGTCTTTGGGGCTTTACTGTGAAACCCGACACAGAGATACAAACAGATACTTAGGCCACAGCATGAAAAAAAGTTTGAGCACTTCTCATCTTTACGGTTATTAAATTAATGAAAAATTAGGAACTGGCCAAAGAAAAAAAAACTCTCCACACAGACAGGAAGCAGCAGCAGAATGAGGAAACCTTGTTAGGGAAAATGCTACATCTTCACACTGGGCTTCCAGGCTTCTATGCTATCCAAAACTGTTTTTTTTTAAATTAAATTTGTGTGTTTTTCTTGCATAGCTTTTTATCTTAAACTGGTTAAACGCTATACAGCATTATGTTCTCTTTTACTGGCTATACCAGGCTATATATGACCTGTCGTCATTGCATGCCGCAGGAATGACAGTTGATATACTTACCCACACATATGTATCTGCAAGTATCTTTTTTGCACCCACTCAGGCATAGTGGGAATAGGGGGTGCAAAGGGGGAGAAGGGCATGACACTGTATCATCACCACATCAATAACATGTCAGTCTGTGCTCAGCAATGCAGCTCATGGGTTGCCATGAAGGAGCTGAGTGCTAGAAATGATATGAATGACATGCCGTGCAATGTGGTTGTAGTAAGAAATGCAAAAGATTTGAACTTCACTACAATAATGACATAGAATTGAATGGATAATTGCAGAATCTTCAAGCACAAAAGGAAATTTCTGTTGTTTGCGAATAAGCAATTTCAATCAGTAGGAAAAATCTGAATAATTGCTTTAAGACCGGTGTGGAATTCACAGCAGTTATTGGTGCATTCAGTATAAAATCAAACAAAAAAAGAACTTCAGAGCTCCATATATAAGTCAATGTCAAAGACTATTGATAGGGCAATATGTGCAAGCATGTATAATCTCAAGCTTACCAGTAACACAGAAAAACGGTTCCAAAGATGTCAGAAACTATATATAAAAAAACAAACTACAGCTTCCACTATATGAACAGCAGCGTCACTGCGCCACTAGAACACTGAAGAGCTCATTGTGTAAGTGGTGCTGCTGTCTGGGAAGGTCGAACGGTAAATTGAAATATCCCCTGCACACCATACAGCAATGGGGACCGTTGATGGTGATGGCGCTCGTAGTGATGGCCACGGATGGCGCCGTGCAAATCCAAGGTTTGAACAATGAAGATCACCAGCACACGAAGGATGAAATAAATCCAAATGTTCTTTTATTCAAAGAAGCAAGTCACAAGTGTTAAAGGAGCCTTTAACAGGCTCCTTTAACACTTGTGACATGCTTCTTTGAATAAAAGAACATTTGGGAAGGGAAAACCTCACAGTGACGCAGTGGAGGGTTACCCTGCAGCCTCGGGAGTCACCGAGGGTGCTGATTTTTTTATATACCTTATGATAGTTCTGCAGCCAGTGTTGCGTACTTCTGCCCTTAACATGGCAAACAATAATACTGAATGAGAAGCCACTTTAGCATGCAGCTTGATGAATCCTGGTAATTGACTTATATGTAGACCTCTGCAAAGCAGATGTCTATTGTTTAGGTTTATATTTGGCATACATGTTGCCACTGCAAGGCATCTGCTGATAAGTGATCCATTGACTTGTTGGAATATTTGTCTCTGCTTTATGTTACTGGTGCTGTAGAATAATGTAAAGGGCAGATAATTCCCATATTTTATGATAATAATAAAAAAATATAACCAACTTGGGAGTAAATTATACAGCTGCAGGGTCAGATAATGTTTGGTATCACATCTGCAAGTATGACATTTTCCGAGAACTATTTACATTTTTATTCGGCATGTCAGCATTTGCCAATCATCCAATTTTGATTAAGATCTCCTACACATTCATTATAATTCCATTGTTTGAGCATATGCCTCGTACCTGTAATTGTCCCGCACAGACAATGTATTTAATACATTCCTGTCTCAGCATTAGTGAACTAATTACTGACTAGCTCAATTACATGAACTGACCTTGGGAATACTCCTAAATGAAAACTATAAATCAAGAAATGAGCAAGGCCTTCAGAAACAAGGAAACTGGAGAGCTGATGAATCGGAATAAATGAAGGAACATGGAAAGAATGGAATATGTGAAAAACTGCTGATTTCTAGATGGAGGTAGTGATGTCGCTACAGACCTGTACAACATTTTGTGTATTTAGGATAATACAGATACTGTAAGTATAAGATGTCGGGTTATGCTAAAAGTACAAAATAAATTGGTGGTCACTTATAAAACAAAGTAAAAATTGAGGGATGATAACTGGAAAATGGCAAATGGAAACACCATCACTATCTGTTCTTTTTAAGTTACAGTAGTTATTTTATATTGATTTTTGTCCTACCAGAGCAATCCTCGCAGGAAGAGTCCTCTGCTTTTCATATGTGGTATTCACAGCCGCACACAGAGCACTGCCCACTCCTCTGCTCAGAGCCAGGTTGGGATCTGCACCATTTGCTAAGAGCTCTTTAACAGCCTAGAAAAAGCAGCACACACCACATAGTCAACACTCTACAAGTAACATCTTTCTTAAGGTGGCCATACACCTTCCAATTTTCGCTAGACTGTTTTCGCCCCGGCCATTGAGCAGTTGCTCGATTTTAATATGACTCATCATTATGCACAGGCCAATTTTGATTATCGTTTTTAATTATCGTTCGTTAGTATACTAACTGTTCGAATTTCGTCGATTGACAGAGCGGACTTTCGTTTGCGCATGTGCAGTGTTCATGTTGTGATTTTTTTCGCACGAAAACGCCACTAATCCATAGTTTTTTGTGCAAGGTGTATATTAAAGCCTATTTATTTTTTTAATTTCTCCTTTTAAAGAGAGTGCTTTTCACTCACCTCATAGTTCTAGCCGACATGTGACAATGAGACTGTCACAGGTCGGCTCAGTAGATCGGGAGGTGAGCGAACACTTACCGGTCGTGCCCCTCCCCTGCCGAGACAGGGGAGGGGCTGGATTCCCCCTTCCAATCCGCCAGTGCTGACTGGCGGAACGGACGGGGGAGGGGGCGGGTACAGCTGGCTCTGCCTCTAGATAGGCAGAGCCAGCTGTCACTCACGCAGCTGGGCGGATCTCGACATCGATGTCGGGATCGGCTCCGGCTGCGGCGTCTCAGTATACCGCGAGCTACAGCGGTACAGCTGAGCTTAGGGTGACGGGAGGACGCTAGTTTGTGTCCTCCCGTTACCCTAAGGAGAACTATAGGGAAAAGCCCTGACCCCATAGTTCTCCTTTAAGGAGACCCTCCTTTGCTGGAGGATTTTGGTCTTTTTCTTTAAAAGTTTCTAATTCCTCATTTCCTAGTGGCTCCCCGCAGCGCTTTTCCCCCCACTCCCTGCACGGGTGCCACCATCGTTCTAGTGGAGGCACCCATGCGCGCTCGTTTACAAAAATTAAAAGTAATGTATTGATCTTTCTGTATTGTATCATTTCTGAAAATATTTTTCTATGTTAAGTCATGTAAATATGAAATCTGCCATAGGACTAATGTGTATTATTAAGTGCAGCCAGCAGGTAGAGCTCTAGGCTCCTCCATACTTTTTTCAGGCTTACCTTAGCTCCCCTGTTGTAAATAGCTTGCTATTTACAGAGCTCAGTAGCTCAAGCAGAAATTTACATACACATGTGAACAAATAACAGTGACATATCCCCCTCCCTTCTCACTGCTGTCTAAGGGGTCTATTCACCAAGCTGCCGAGGGCAGCCGAGTGAATCACCGATCTGAAGTGAAGTCAGCCGAACACTGTTCGGCTATTCACTTCAGGCTGGTACGGCTGATTCATCGGCTTGCTTCGAGTGGCTTCGGGTCGGCCAAACATGCTCAGCATGTTCGGCTGACCCGAAGTGCAGAAGGAGTTCGACTCGGCCGATCCAACATTTGGATCGGCTGAGCCGACCCTCCGGCAGGCTACTCGCTGCTGTTCTGCCTATTCTTATAGATGCCTAACAGCAGTGAGTGAATAGCTGAATGCCGCTGAGCTCTATTGTCCGGCGGCTCTGCTGCTGTAAAAAAAAAAGAAGAAAAAAAAAAGACTCTCCCCGGCGCTTTGGGAGTCTCCCGCTCCCGGCCGCCCAGAAGAGAAACAGGGCTGTGTCTTTTTTTCTTTATTCTGACACGAGCGATGTCAGAATAGAAAAAAAAAAAAAAAAAAAAAATTTTCCCATTGAAAAGCATTGGGACATTACTATTGGCTATTTCAATTTGCAATAGCCAATAGTAAACTAGCATTGTTCCCGCCCTCTGCTGATGGACCTGATGGGGAACTGCAGCAGAGGGCGGGTACAATGCTAGTTTACTATTGGCTATTGCAAATTGAAATAGCCAATAGTAATGTCCCAATGCTTTCCAATGGCAAAAATCTTTTTTTTTTCTATTCTGACATGCTCGTGTCAGAATAAAGAAAAAAAAGACACAGAACTGTTTCTCTCCTTGGCGGCCGGGAGCGGGAGACTCCCGGAGCGCCAGGGAGAGTTTGCTGTGTGCAGATCAGTGTTCCTGGTTAGCAGTTAACCAGGGACGCTTATCTCTCTGAAAGGGGCCGGAGCCAGCCGTAAGATCACGGCTGGCTCCGCCCAGCTGTCAGAAGCAGGTCGGCTTTCAGCACGGCTCAGCGGAGCCGATGCATATGCGTTCGGCTCGGCTGAGCCGCTCGGCCATGATCGGGAGCTGTACGGGCTATTGTGAATAGCCCGTACAGCACCCCTTCAGTTCTACTGAACCGAAGAGGTCCTGGGGCCGAAGCTAGCCGAAGGATCGGCCGAAGCTACGGCCAGATCCTTCGGCAGCTTCGTGAATAGACCCCTAAGTTTCAGTTAGAGAAAGTCTCTGAGACAGAAAACTTTTGTTATGCCATCTCTTTGGGAAACCCATCATTCTGTGTCAGTTGAAAAATGCAAAAAAGTTTAAAATACAACTGACCCACAACATTAAAGTTTCTCTTGTAAAGGTGCCCATACACCTTACAAATTTCGCCGATTTTCGTTTGCGATCGCGTTTTCGTCCGATATTCGTAAGGTTGATGGGCAGTGTACAACCGCAAATATTGTACAATCGTACGACTTTTGACTTTCCAGCAGGTTAGAAAACTTCTGTGGAATCGTACGATTTTTGCAAGGTTGGTGGCGTTTCTGTACGTCAAAAATTGTACGATTAATACTGCTTATGCACAAACAAAAATCCGTGCGGTCAATTAACGAAATTCGTCCAGGTGATTTCTGCTAAAGACCGCTGATTGAACTGTGCGATGGTCGGGGCAGAATGGGGCCACCGTACGAAAATCGTATGACAGTTTGATCAGATGAACATTTTCGTCCGATGATTGCAAGGTGTATGGGTACCTTAAAAGACGAAGGTCCTCTTCAAGCACCTGACACTAATATACTGTAAGAGATTACAAATATAAAGTCATCTCACCATATCATTTCCACTGGCAATGGCCAAGGACAGAGGGGAGTGCCCACTCCACAGGGTGTTGACCTTGGCATTGTGAGCCAGAAGTAAAGAAATTGTATCCTTGGCAAGCTGCATGTAAAATAAAGACATATTATTATTGCGGGCATATGTTATAAGGATATATAACTAATAACAATTATGATGAGTAATGTGCAACCAATCACATTTCATGTTTCTTCAGATAAGAGCAGTCAGAACACTGAATCTAAAGTGTCAGTACGAAGCTATTACTGAGGAATAACCTTTAGTCGTTTAGTATTGCACAGAATCACAGAGTACAATATGGGATAAACGTCACCTTTCACGCTGGTATTTGGAACAACTCCATTTACTTACAGGGCTTTTCACAAAAGGGTGAAGAGTTTGGAGAAGGCAGGAGAAGTGAACAATCTAGGAGAACATAGCTGTACTGGAAAGTGAGCTGAATTGGAGAATTTTTCCTAATCAGCTATGTTCTCCTAGATTGTTCACTTCTCCTGCCTTCTCCAAACTCTTCACCCTTTTTGTGAATAATCGTGTTAGTTCTTTTGGCTCAAATCAATCAGTACATAATAGCGGATTTTCTGTAATTAGAGCTTGACTTTGCTTTTATATTCTTTTTGGCTCTTTGCATCCCTGGAATCAATTCCACAGTTATCAAAGAGATTATTATGGTTGATCCACCAATATTCAGCACGCACAATGGTTGTAACCCAGAATAAGTGATTTGTACAAAGGGTTTTGTAGAAAGGCAAGTACCGTATTTTTTGCTCCATAAGACGGACTTTTTTTCCCCCAAAAGGAGGGGGAAAATGTGCCTGCGTCTTATGGAGCGAATCCCGACGCCCGAGACATGCAGTTTTGGGCGCCGGGCGAGTAGAAGGAGCCACTGCTCGTTTAATACGAGTGATCTAATAAGATCACTCGTATTAAAGCCGAGCAGCGGCGGCGGCGATCGAGTTCAGCAGTAGGAGCCACCGCTCGTTTAATACGAGTGATCTAATGAGATCACTCGTATTAAAACCAAGCAGCGGCGACGATCGAGATCACCATAGAGCAGACGAAGAACGGACGTTCTTCGTCTGCTCTGTGTGATCACTGAGACCGTGGCGCTGTAATCACAGCGCCACCTGTCTCAGCGGTCACTAACTGCAGTTTCTGTCATAGAGGCTATGACAGAAGCTACAGTCTGTCGAGTGCTCCATAAGGCACGCCGGACCTCCCTGCGTCCTATGGTCCGGTGCGTCTTATGGACCGCAAAATACGGTATACGTTTTCCCTGGTTCCCTGATCTACCAGACAGATCAATTACCCAGTCACTGAACTGTGAAAGGGGTCCCACCATAAAAAGGAAGTATGGTAGATCCTTATCCAAGGAAGCTACAATTTTCATACCATTTTCCTGTCTCAATTTCAAACGGGATCCCACTGGATCTCCGATTCTGCATTGTCAATGTGCTGGCCATCTTTCTGATTGTTATACCTGTAAAGATAACTCAAGGCAACTGGGACTAGCAAGTCCAGTTGCCTTGATTTATTTTTTACAGATATACCATGACCTGGATGAATGAGAACCTTAAGAGACATAACTGATTGTTAGATAACAGGATTCTTGATGACCAGCTGTAGAGGGTACTATCTACCATTATTCACAGACTTCCCTTGCCTGGCTGCAACTACTGATAAAGAAACACATTTAATTAGATAAACTGTTTAACGTAACTCTGGTGCCTGCAATAGTTCATATTTACCTTGAAGTTGTCTTCTCTCTCACATGCCACATGCAATGGTGTGCGGCCACCCTCTTCTGGGATGTGGGGGCTTTTCTCATAATAGTTATACAGAGGTAGACCCGAGTCAAGGCAGCCTTTCATAGGAAATCCCTGAACTGCTCCAGGGCTCTCCCCCTGTAGATACACATAACACACTGTATGTACATGAGGAACACCTAGAAACTTTGGGCAGAGATGATTAATGGATCTGTTTGGAGGGACAATGAAAAGAGGTAAGACCAAATGCACATGCAGAGTTTTAATTAGTCAGGACTAGATCCCCTGCCACTTAATTAAAACCCTTTACAAACCTGTCACAGACATGCTGCCCTCTCCCTACATCCATTTAGTTTGCACACAGTAAAATGCAAAAGATATTGTTTTGTGCTTTACAATCTGCACAATTTCATAGCCCTGGATTCTATTTTAACAATGTGAGTCAACAAACAAGGCCTCAAGGGACTGAGTACAGTATGCAGTGATGGCTACCCATAGTTCTGCATGCAATGATGTCTAACCAATGCTCTGTATGCAGTGATATCAAGCCAAAGGTCTATATATAGTGATATCTAATCAAAGCTCTATATGAACTAATGTCTAACCAAAGCTCAGTACGCATTGATGTTTAGTCAAAGCTCTGTATGCAGTGATGTCTGATCAAAGCTCTGTATGCAGTGATGTCTGATCAAAGCTCTGTATGCAGTGATGTCTAACCAAAGCTCTGTATGCAGTGATGTCTAACCAAAGCTCTGTATGCAGTGATGTCTGACCAAAGCTCTGTATGCAGTGATGTCTGACCAAAGCTCTGTATGCAGTGATGTCTGACCAAAGCTCTGTATGCAGTGATGTCTGACCAAAGCTCTGTATGCAATGATGTCTAACCAAAGCTCTGTATGCAATGATGTCTAATCAAAGCTCTGTATGCAGTAGCGTCTAACCAAAGCTCTGTATCCAGTGATGCCTACCCAAAGCTGTGTGTGCAGTGATGCTTTGTATGGGAGGAATCAAGCCTATTCCATCTATAGATGAATAAAATGGAATGTTTTTTCAGTTGTCTATTATATGAAAACATGGTTATGAATGCCACAATAAACTGAATTTAGCCATGTACTATAATTACAGTAGTGTTTCCTTTCACGTCCATCTCTGGGCCCCATCAAATCCTCCTTTCAGACGCTAAGTGTTGCCATGTACCACCCAATGTGAGTAGTCATACCACCACTGGTATATATACTACACTTTGGGAGAGAGTGCCTTAGCAAAAGGGATAGGGATAAAAGAAGGAGGCAGAAAACTATTTAATTGCCAGATTGACCTACTCTGGGAAAAGCTGCCAGTGGAATGATTTCTACAGATGTACACTATAAAATGTAAATAAATGGGGAAGAACAAAAGCTGCCTGTGTTACAAACAGCTTCTCTTATCCACTGTCAAGTAATGGTGCCTATGTGACACTCATCGGCGTTCACTGCTGCAAAAGAACTTCCAGGAACAAAGATACTAAATTTCCCATGGAGCAGCTCAGCTGTGCTCTGTCATCTTTATGACAGACATGTGTCTATGCTGTATTCTATTTTTATCCTCTGCACACTAATTAGCCATCCCTGAGAGGATACGAGCTGCTGATATACCGTACCCTGTCAGGAATATATACATAGTCTTCATCCTCAGCACAGGCATTGGGATTTGAAGCAGCATAAAGCAGAATCTCTGTGATCCGAGTCCCTTCAGCTACTGGCAAAGCCACCGCTATGTGGAGAGGAGTCAGGGAGCTATCCTGGGAAATAAAACATACAAATCATAATACCACTCAGGAAACAATGCAAGCCTCCCGAGAACATGCTAATCAATCATCTATCCAGACACATTCAATGTTCAGACAATCAGGAATTACCACCGTGATCAGACTATTATTCATTGAACAATCAGTCAAAGATTACAGTGTTGCAGAAAAGGTGAAACAATGTAGACATTTCTGCTGCCATTGCTAGGTAATCAACAATGGCAAATCAGCAGTGTTGCTGCATTCTATTTACATCTTCATTGTTACAGTATGTTGTATGGAACTACCCGACACTGCTCCTTACCTGTATACTGCACGTTATATTCAATGTGGCAGCACTGAGAATGATTTTAGTATAAACAAGTATTTCCATTCCAGACCTCAGACGCAGACAGATTCGATCACTCAGTGCTTGGCCAGTGTATTATTTACAGTATGTCCCCGTTTTATATCTATATACTTATTTTGTACATGTTCAAAACTAAAAAAAATACATTTAAAAATAATAATTTCTACTTAGTATATAAAATAGGAAACATTGCATATGAATAGGATAATATATTTTATCATCCTCTTTTCACACTTACCTGTCTATTCTTAGTTGCTGATTGAAAGATAAATGGTTGTTTACAGAGCTCAATAGTTTATTCTTTAATTTACATACACAAATTATTGAATAAAAGCAGTAACTAATTATTTCCCTTCCTTCCCCACCTTGCCAACTCTGTTCAGACCGCCAATATGCATACATAAACCAGGAATGATGAGCTTCAGGTATCCCCCATGATTCTTTCTATTGTGTGTCTGCCACTAGTGAATTCCACCAATTTCCATATAATCCCAAAAACACAGCACTCCTTCATAAAGATCATTTAAATATGTGAAGTGCCACTTCGCATATTTAAATAATACTAATGCAGGCTCATGTAGTCAATTTAAGTGAGCAGCTGTAAGGAGGAACGCCCAGTTTTTTAAAGAGTAATCGAGCGCAGAAGTCTCTATAGAAAACTAAATGCAATTGGTTTCTTTATTGATACATAGGCTCGTACAAAAAATGAAGACAACTTTGGGTGTCCCCACCTTTCCTCATGTTCAGTATTGATATAACTGGCTCAGAAACCTCACATCACCCTTTAAGATGAGACAGCAATTCTTTTCTGTGGCTAGGTCAGATTTCAGAGAATGATGGAGGACACACACTACTTGGGCGAACTTGGTTTGTCTGCATCTGAGGTCTCTACTTCTATTGACAAATCTGATGAAAAAAGTGTGTGTGGGGGGGGGGGGGGGGGGGTT